GTGCCGCGCGTCGCGTCGCCAGTTTCGTCGTCGAGGTTCCCCTTCGTCGCAGGCGACGGAAGGGGTCGACGATCCAAGCAGGGTCGGGTTCAGAGGGGTTCGGCTCTCACTGCCGGCACCACCGTCGTGTTACATGTATCGTCTTGCTTTAGGGCGCAGGGGCAGGCGGGGACTCATGAAACACTGGGGCGCCACGCGTCCAGACCCCGCCACCACCTCCGAAAGTACAGCCGCCACCGCCCGCGGCGGTGACCCGACACGGATCAGCTGCTACGTCACAACAGGGCCGGCGCCGCGCGCCGCGGGGAGTCGCGCAGCGAACGGCGCGCGCAAACATCGCACGGCGCGACGAATCGGCCCGGCCGCTCTCCCCGCGGCGGCCTGCTGCTGGCGGCGGTGGCGGGGGCGGCCGTCCTTGCCGCCGCCCCACCTGCCGGTGCGGTGAAGCGGCGCGCTGTGCGGCCACCCCTGAAGGCGATACGTCTCACGATTATCGGCGACGGCGACGGCGCGCGCCGAGTTCCTTCAACCCGCGCGCACGAGCGCGCCCGGTTGTCATAGCAACCGGCACGCGCGCGCCACTGGCGACGCACCGGCGCGTGACCCGCTAAGCGCCGCCAGCGTCTTGGCCAATGGGTGAGGGCGTTACGGGCCGTCAGCCAATGGCTGCCGCTGGCACAGCCGCCGACGGCTAGACAAATGAAGGTGGCCCGCCGCCGCCGCCGCCGCCGTCTTCGCCGCACCTGCCTCCGCGGCCTAGTGGCGCGTGCCGAGAACCAAGATAATGACCGCTCCAGACAGATAAATGCCTCCAAAACGCCGACCACCGTCAATAATTTCGCTGGGCTGGAAGCGACGGCGCGAGCCGCGCGGAAAATCTTGATAAAAACTGACCGCAAGAGAGCAAACCCGCATTTACTGAACACCGGTGAGGGGTAGGGCGAGGAAGCCACTGTTTGCGCTCAGTGAGGGGCAAAACAGGACCCCGGGCTCATGGCGCACCTCAGAGCTTTGAGCGGTCACGGCGCACCTCGACCCGTGTCCAGCCGGTACGTTACGATCTGTTACGACTTACGACGAGCAGTTACGATCCCGCCGCGGGCGCCATCAAAGCGACGCGCCGGCGCGCCAGCATCCTCCACCATGGAGGTCGCGCGGTCCGCTCATAAGGCTCATCCTCCACCCACACTACCCGCGACTCTCGCCCTTACGGCCGGCGCACACGGCAGATGCGTTGACGGCCAGGTGAAATTTGAAAATCGATCGTTTGTTCAATGCGAGCCGACGGCGCACGGGTCCGACAAATTACACCGGACACAGGTGGCAACCCGGCGCGGTACCCGGCGCCGCTGGCACAAATACGGCGCGAGCGCAGCCGGCGCGCGGCCGCTGTGGCGCGCCGATCCCTCGCGCCATCGGTCGCGAGAGACTCGCTCCGACCTCCAAAGTCGCCGCCGCCTTCCATTAGTCCGTATCTGCAGCCGAGTCGCGCTATCGAACGCCTCCCAAACTCCGGCAGCGCCACTCGACTTGCTAATCGGTGCGCGCCTGCCGGGTGGTCCTCTGTGACAGGCGACCGTTTTTCGCCGGCCGTCCGCCTCCGCGCCGGGCCGTGCGCGCGCCAGAGAGACCCGCGGAGATGGCCCCGGTGGCGTGCCGATCGGCAGGCAGTTTTACCCAGCTACAAGGTCAGCGGGCGTCGGCTGAACCGGCTGGCCGCCGCGCCGGGCCGCGCCGGCCGTGGCGCACCTGTGACGTAATCGCCGCACCGGCGACACCTTATGCGACGCGCGCGCGACAGCCAGATCGATTATGGGCAACAAACAGGCCCGCCGTGCAGCGGAGGTGTACCACCGTGCGGTAATGCCCGCTCCGCTCTTTACCGTGCAACGGTAGCTACGCTATGCAAGGCACCACGAAGCTCCAAGCCGCCCGCCGTCAAAGCCCGAGATATCCGAGCACTTCACCGATTGCACGACGTCGAAAAAATCCAACCGCAACAGCTGGTGGTTTATTCAGGCAGCATAGCTCGATAGCGGAAGGGCTTTCCATTTTCGCTGAGAATGACGGCTAACAATGGAGCGATCGCGCAAATCCACCCCCTTGACCTTCTCTGAGGAGCTCAAACCGGCACGGATGGCTGCAAGATCGTTCCGCGCGGTCGGCTGCGGTTCGTCTTTTCCCCGCCGCCGACGACGTCATCGTCATCGTCATCGTCACCGGTAAAAGCGCGTCCGTCCGTCGCGAGTGGCTGACCATCGTCGGCACGTGTCTACCGCACTTTCTGCCACCGCCACCGCCGCCGCCGCCGCCGCCGCTGGCCAGTCGGTGCTCTCCCGTCTGGGAGCGGTCCGACCCACTTCGGAGTCGTGGGAGGCGACTGGCCCACCGCCGCCGCCGCCGCCGCAGTCGACGGGGCAGCGGTGACGCGATGCCGGGCGGGGACGGGGGCGGTGCTGATACGCAATCGCGCGACTGTGTAAACTGTGCTATCGGGAAGTTGCCAGGTAATCGCACCACCACCACTGTCGCTGCCGCGGAGACCCGCAGTTAGGGTCCGCAGCGGCGCACACATCCGCGTGGTGCCCCCAATCACACTAGGCGGCACCCTCGGCCCTCGCCCACCGGCGGTGGCTTATCCTTCTGCAAACCCACTGCAAGCCTTTCGCGTGTCAGCGCGTTCGTTTGGTCTGCTTGCAGATATTCCAGTGTCTGCAGAAATGCGGCGCAGGAGGCTCCAACCGCGATGAGACGGACGAGTCGCGGCCAGTCGTGGTCTGAACGCCGAGAGCTCCAGTTAAGGTGTGGTCGCGGGCGTGAGATAGGTTTCAGCGGCTCACCGCGCCACTCCTCGCCACCATCGCGCCACACAATGCCGCACCGGTTGCCATGGTTTCACTCACCGCGTGTCATCGCGCGAGAAGTCTGCTGTAAATCGACAAAAATGGCGCCACCGCCTTCCCCAGTCACAGCGGGGTAAAAATAGCCAACCAGACTGCGGACGTGAGCAGCGCGCATCGTCTCATAACTACCAGGTGCTTTCGGAGCGCCAAACTGTCTCTGTAAATGAGCCATTGCGAGGCGGGGAGCCGTTCCCGTACTGCACCTGAAACGACCACCGTGGGCCCGCGCTGCTCGCTGCAGAGCTGCCAGTTGTCGCGGCGCCTCAGACTGTGTGATTGCCCAATCGGTCGTGCTAAAATCGGCGCACTGCCGACACACGGTGCGGCTAGGCGAGGTGTTTTCGGTGACCAAGGTAGACTATCAGTGGAATGCAGCGATAACACTAAAGTTATCAAAGCGATAGTGTGTTGTACTTTGTATACAAACCGGCGACATTGTGGACTCAATCAGTTGGAGCTAGAGTCTCGCTCACCATGCCGACAAAATCACCACCCTCCCCACAGTGAACCCGGATCTTCAGTCTCCACCTAGCTAAACCCCAGTCCTAGCCAACTCCGCTCCAAGTTCTGCAAGCGACGAAGGGCGTGATCTGACAAGCATCCCAGGTGCGCCGACGCCTCCGCCCCGTCTCCCTCCCCATCTCCTCTGCTCGCGCCCCAAAGACCGTGACCGAGTTTTGGAGCGGCAGGCACGGGGTGTGATTTTTCCCGAGCACCGCGCACGAAGCCCGCGTCCCCAGCACCGGCTAGCGGGGATCACAAGTCACGCGTTCGGTGTCGTTGCTGGCCTCGAGAAAACTGGGCATCCGCCTATTACAGAAGCGACAACCGACAGGCGACATTGTCGAGTCGGCGCACTTGCTTCTGCCGGCGGCTACCAGGCGCTAAACCTGGCGTCAGGTTCTGCGTGATTTTCGCAATACCGATATCAACCACTACTTTCCACGAACCAACAACTAACCAGATTTTCCGTGCTCTTGATTCGCCTCTTCTTCATCCAAACGCTAACGCTTCTCTTCTCAGTGCAGCAGCTAGACAGATGTCTCTCAGACGCCAAACAACACACCAATCGTCACTAGCGCCTGACAAAAAACCGCCACCGTCCTGACCACGGTCCCAACCACTGCAGCGACCGCTGCACCGACCGCCGACCAAGTTCAAACCACGGTACCTCAGCTCAGCGGTCCGGGGATGGCGTCCGTCCCAGCCGGATTCCGGACAAATTAGCACGACCAATTGGTCCGTGATGCCGGTCTTCTGTCTGTTACCAAGACGGTACCGGATACAGAAACGGTCGCCGGGATGACAGTGATGGCGGTGTTCGTGGCTGGGGCAGCTGTATCGCTAAAGCTACCTTTATCGCAGAAGCTGCAGCTTTGAGGCATGAACAAAGTTTGCCAGTGGAAGCGGCCTAAAAGTAGTAATCAGTATATTGATGATAGTGGTAAGCTTGACGTGTTTTGCTCAAAGCGGCAAAGTAAGCTATTGGGAAGAAATTTTGATGGTAGCGTTAACAACGATTGAGATAGTGGCAGCAAAAAAAAAATAGCTGATAGGTCTGACGGTAGCTTTGGCGATTGTTCTGATGGTAAGCGATTGCTTTGTCGGTAGCTGTAGCGGTAGCTCTGGTGGTAAATGGTAGCTTTGGCGGTAGCTCTCGCGGTGGCGGTGATAACAGGCGGCATTACAGGAGCGGCCTAGAGCACGGCAGGGAACATTCCAAAGGTTACTGCTGACTCGTGACGCCTTTATTAACCGCTGAACGGCTGATAAGGTGTCCGCGGAGGGCATATCCGCGGTTCCGGGCCGGCCAAAGTCCAACGACACGAGTGGAGGCGGCTTGAGAGATCCACCCAGTGGAGGCGGATGAGTGACCGCAAACCGCTGATGAAAGGCCTGAATGGCACCACCGCAAAATATGCAGTATTAGAGGAAATGAATAAGATTGAAACCGAAAGGTCACTTTCGTCTTCGATGTCTCCTTCCGAACATTGTATGATTGATAAGCTTGAATAAGACGAAATGCAGATATCGGGAATTTTTCAGGAGGCGCTCCCATCCTGTCAACAGCATGCACGATCCCATCGCCGGACTCACCTGCTATCCGGAATACTGACGAGAGGAGCAGCAGCATCAGAAGGTGTCGAAGCGCGCCGGGCGGCCGGGGGCGGGGGCGGCGGGCGGCCACCTCGCCAGCCCGCTCGGCCGACCCCCTGCCAGGGGCGCCGCGGCACTCGGCGCCGACCGGCTGCGCGCCGGGTCGGCCGGGCCCGTGACCCCGTGAGCCGGCCTCGGCGGACGACGACGGCCGCGTCACCGGCCGCGACCAGCGGCGGCTGCTCTCTGCGCTCCCTGAAACAGCGGAGAAACAAACACGGGTTAGAACGATGCCAAAATACACGCAACACACGCACTGGAAGACGTAGCGGATAGATGGCGATCCTCATAAAACCTACAAGCATAAACAAACACAGGTGAGAGGATGACACCAAAACACGCGTAACTAAACACTCCTCGAGACGCAACACAAAAGACGCAGTGGATAAATGGCGACCCTCAAAAACACGTAGGATTCGTAGGAATTACGAGCAAGACCTTGAGACCGGCACAGAAACTGCGCCACGAGACAAGTGTTAACAAGCAGCGTTGCAAGGCTGGCCAAAGTGCGCGCCTCGCGATACAGGTGTGGTGGAAAGTGGAGGAAGTCGCGGCGAGGGCTGGACGGACGGAGCCGGACACAAAAGTTCGGACAGGTGTCAAGATGCCGGTGCAGACAGGTGTGGAGGTCATTCAACATCCGTGCAATACTGCACTGTCCACGTCATACATAAAATTAATAACTTGCACCAGTTTCCCCAACATAGGTAACTTGAGCAGGTGCAACCAAACAAGCCAGCGCCAAGCTTTGCGGTTGTTGCGATTCGCCTGAGCGCTGGTAGGTCGCACACCCCTGCACCAGGTCAATTAGGTCCAACGGCCCTGCAGTGCACTCAGCCAAAACCCCGGGGGCGTTGGGCCAACCGATGATCACATACGGAACGCCGGTGGAACCATGGGTGAAGGTGACTTCGGCATCACACCTAAAAAAGAAACTTTTCAGCTCACCAATGGCCACCATGAAATCCTTACGTCACATTCTATTTTGGCGTTTTAAACAAACAAAAGAAATCATCCATTTTTCCTCCTGCAACAAATCGAGGGAGAGCTTCTAGAACCCTGGAATTCTTACCCCTCTCCACCCCCAGACATCCACCCATCCCCGCGTCTGTCTGGCGATGCTGGGGCGTCGCTGGCAGTTGGTGTATGATGTTTCGCCGGCACCAGGAGGCCCCCGAACCTGCAGTGGGCCACCGGCCAAATCGGTGAATCAACTGACATTCCCGGCTCAGCTGGTCCGCGGACCTTCCTCTCCGACCCGGCCAGACATCGAGATCGTCCTCAGCGGATCAGAGAGGTCAGCTGGACGATCAGACGAAGCAGGGTGATACGAGGGCGAAAGTGGGGAGGGGTAATTGAAGATCGAATGTAAAAGCATGAGAGCGATCGGTAGGACACTACATTAAAATTGATTTAAGACGCATGAGAATAGAAGAGACTAGTCACAAACGCGAAAATATGAACTAGGTCAACCGGGTGAGCTTGTATGTCACTGAACTTGCCGGCTGGATGCACCGCTTCCTGACGGTCATCCTCGCACCGGAAACGGGGCAAACCGGGCGACGGGGAAGGGGAGGGGACCTAGAGGGGAGCCGACCGACACACGGGGGAGCGGCCAGCCCATACACAGACCCACTAATAATCGCCCAGGGTCGTCGTCGTTGCAGGATGCAAACAAATCGATCGGTTGGATGTCGGGGCAGTGTATCGCCCCACTGCGGCCCCCATGGTCGGCCGTAAAAACCAACGGCAGGTGGAACGAAATGCCATCATACCGACGTGATTCATTGCTCGTTTTAGCGTGTCGCAGAATGAATGAGCTACCGGTGTAGCAGCGGCGCAAAGCGGGCTTCATTCACGACCCGGCCGGCGCTGAGGGCTGCCCTGGAACACACCTCGTCGGCCGCTGCGCAGGGCGCCTGAGCGGTGTCTAGACCCCTGCCCGGTTGGGAGCCCACGGTCGGCACTGGAGGTGTGGGTATTTCGGGCCACAGGATGGCGGCGGGCGGGGGCGGGGGCGGCGGCGGCGGGGCAGCTGCCGCGCCGGTGACCGATCGTCCCGCCATAGCCACAGCCGCAGTGGAGCCGAACCGGCCACAGGAAACGCTAATAACAGCCACCCCTCTCTGAATTCCGCGCCGGCCAGTTAAATGCCCGCCGAATCCGGTGGCCAGGGTCAGACAGAACACAGACGGACTAACCCGTGCTGCTCGACTCGATGGATGCGCGGTGCCTCTTCACCAGAGGCCGGGACCGGCAGAGCGACCAGCCACTGGGACCGTGGGTGCTCAGGGACGAGTTCTCCCACGCCGGAAAATGTCTCCGTCGCACCCGCCGGCTACTGGGAGAAACCGTCTCACCTGCGGGAATCGCGGTGGCTCACGCTGCCCCAGGGTAAACACCAAGCGGAAGAAACGCTTGACGATTTTAACCAAAGCGTTGATTACCTGCAGCCGTGGTGTCTCCGTCCAGGAAAATCGCCAAAGCTTCTCAGATACTGAACAGGAAAACGGCCAGGAAAATCACCAAATCTCCTAAAAAGTCGCACGTGCCAAACAGTAACTCCACACCTCTATTTACCAGCTTCGCTCAGCACCATGCCTTCATCACGACTGAACTTCCGCGCTGCACACCTGCAACTTGTGCCTATTGCAGGTGGTGGCGTAACCACAGGTCTGCGTGGTTTTTCACCAGACACCACCTCGCCCTGACGCGGGCCGGTGCCGGGTGGCAGTGGGCCAGGTCTGAGGATGGGGGCCCGACCAGCGCCGGTCGCCAGCGGGCACAGACACCAGCCACCGACGTGACGTCAGAGACCCGCTGGGCTGACGTCATCAGCCACCAAATCACCACGTGCGCACGCATCAACGAAGGCAGGAGATCGTCTGGGAGCGTGTCTCAGCCTGTCGTGTTGCAAACGTGCTCCGCCGTGTCCAATGCCATCATCCGTTTACCTGGCCGCGCCAAGTCAACGACATCTCTCTCGAAACTTCGGCTCGCCATCGCCAAGAGGAACCCCCTTTCATCCACAAAAATATCCAACCCTGCACAAGCCCTGACTAGTCGTCCTGGACATACATCCGGCTTCGCAACCACCCACCGCGATCCGCGCAATCCACCGGTCCGCAATCCACCCGCCCAAAATCCGTCCACCAAATCCTGCTGAAATCCTGTGGCGCTCCACCAACTGGTCCGTTTAATCGGCGTCTCGCAGCTGGGCTGGTTCGGTGCGCCGTTCGGCTGTCTGGCCCGGCACCGGTCGTATGGCTGGCTGAGTTTGAACGGTTCGCGGATGGAAGGAATGGTGTTCTGGTCGACCTCACGGCGACTGATGTGGTGGCAACTGATGGTGACTGATGCCGACTGACTGATGTTAACTGGCGAGAACTGACGCAGTGAGCACTGAGCACTGATGTCGTTGTCCACTGACGGTACCTAACTAGTGCCAACTGATGTTGCGGGCGGCTGATGGACTCGGGTCAAATGTAGCTGTGCCGTTGGCCAAGAAGGGACCTAGCGGTTATTTTTGTCCGCCCGGGTCACGGTTCAGATCACGACGCGGGTCACGGTGCGGTCAGCAGGGTCAGCAGGGCAGCGGGGTCACAATGTCAGAGTCGTCTGCTCCGGTTCAGCATGTCTGCAGCTGCTACAGCCACTGGGCCGACAAAGCTCAGACGGACTCACCATGAACTCAATGCGGACTCTGGTGAGCTCATGAAACTCACCCAGCGAGCGAAGCGCTTAAACCAGAATTTACAAAACCCGGAGCGGATGGTACTCATAGAGTTCATGGCTGTCCCAACGATTATGTAACCAGCAGCGACAATGACATGTCCAACAATGCATTCATTCAACGGCAAATATGAGTGCATGCAAGGCCAACAGGTTTGGGAGAAGAGATGCGTTTCGGAAATGCGATTCAAACATGACACAAAACTTCAGCACCGACTAAAATAGAATCACATCATAACAAAGAATATCGCGCCGTCATCGTTCGCACTTGGCTTGTTTCCACCAATGCGACCCTGATATAATCCAATGCGACCCCGATCTAATCCTACCCGGTCCCGATCTATCCCGATACGGGTTTGACCTGGCTCAGAAGCCAGGGAGTGGGAGGTAGCAGCGTCTGTAACGCGTCTCCACGGCCTCGACACCTCCGCAGGGCCTCTGATGCCAAACAGGGGTCTGGTAGGCGGCGCAAAAGGGGCCCGCGGCCCTTCTCCAGGACACTAGCGGATCGAAAGTGTTGAGAAATCAGCCGAGAGCTGATATCCACGCGAAACTACGCTGAGTCGCCGCACCTTTCGCTCCAGATCGCAGCAGTCCCGTCGCGTTCCTGACCTTTCTGAACCCGACCAGACGCCATCGCGTTTCCTCTCACGTCCTAACCAGTTATTTGTATTCCCTTCCTCTCTCGCCTCCCATTCTATCCCTCTCTCTACTATTCTACTACTCCAACTCAAAGTCTCTCCCTTCCTTACACATTCCCTCCCTCTTGATGCCCTCTTTGGCTGACGTGCCTACCATTCGCGTCCCTTCTGTCCCCTCTCGACTCCTTCTCGTTCCTCCTATCCCTCCCGCGTCCCTCCCGTTTCCTCCGGCGTCCCTTCTGTTCTCTTCCCTCTCGCGTCCCTTCTGTTCCCTCCTGCGCCCTTCCTATCCCTCCTATCCCTCCCGCGTCCCTTATATTTCGTTCCCTCCTGCGTCCCTCCTGTCCCGTTCTGTTCCGACCGGTCCGCTACATGGAACGTCCAACGACAGCTGGAGAATGGAGACAAGGCGTCGGGCACGCCTACCAGACGAACCAGTCCTCGACGCCGAGATAACAGCCTACGAGCGAGACCGACTAAACCGAGACAAACGGGGCGAGACAGATGCTGCGGTCATAGCTAGGAATGAGCTAAGTGTAACGCGCTTTGATGAATATAATGGTATCGATGATCATGTTTTGGGAGCCTTTGGGGCATGCATTGGCCAGCCGCGTTCCTGGTTATAGTAGAGCTTATTCAAAATCATGAAAGCACATAATTACAACAACCAAAAGCCATCTATCTGTTTTCACACAATACCAAACCCATAAAATCAACATCATCCGAAAACAACAAATCCTCTCAAAGAGAAACCCCTGAGTGCACCAAGCGAGACATCATCCAGCCCCGTAACGACGCAGTGTCTTGCCGCTCGACAAAGCT